TAAATAAATAAATAAATTATGCATTATTTCTAAATGACGACTAAAAATAACTTTTCAATTTTAAGAATCAAATAACTTTTTAACTTTAAATTTGCCTCTTAACTAATAATAAACATTGTCTTATCATTATCTTACTTGTCATTATCACTCCTTTTTCATCACAGCAGTCATTGAAAAAACTGTATAACATCAACATCAGTAACGTTCTAGACAAAAAGTTAATGTAAGTATCAATTTCATTTAATTATTTGTAAGCGTTATAATTATTTTTTTACAAAATTTCAATGATTTTCAACTATGACTAATTTAAGTGCTTTTATAACATACGATTAAGAGATATTTAGCATGGACCAAAAGTCAATATACCAAGATAATTGGTTTCTGTTGATTGCATATAAACATTTGTGATTCATTCGCTTCTAATTAAGCAACTTGATGTCCTTTCTTATTGGCAATATATGTTTGATAGTATTATACTGTATATTATACATAAAACTTTTTCCATTAACATATATTAAAATGACAATATTTAATATATATTATATATCAATATATATGTATATATAAGTAAAAAATAATTAAGTATAACCTTGGTTTTTGTATTTTTGAAGAGTAAATATGATAAAAATAGATTACGCCATCTAATCAAGCAATTCTGTAATATTAACCTTAACCCACCTACTTTCTTAATCTACGTCATTAGATTATGCTTTTATAAATTTTGATGAAGTGTAAAGATGTAATTTTATGATTTTTCAATAACAACATTATTCAAAAAATATATTTTGCTAAACTATTAACTTATTCGTAAAAAAAAAATGTCTATGCTTTACATTTTTGACTTCTCCAAGTATTAATTTGTACAGACAATCTTTATACAAGTTTATATAGGCTATATCCTATATATGTCACATGTAAAATTTTTACTTTATAAATATAATGAAATGAACTACATGTTAGTTAATCATAATTCATCAAAAGCATTATATCATTCAACGCTGTTAATTAGTCAAATTAGTTAAATAGTAATAAGCTATTTAAATAAAACAGTAATTTAATCTACAAAATTGTTTCGAACAAATCTGTACTATATACTTTATACTTGTACAGTAGAAACCTCAATAAAAACGTTGATGGCCATTTTTTAATAAACAGCTTATTAAACAAATTGCTTGGCGTCGAAGTATGATGTCATTTCTGTTTTTATGTCTAATTATCTTATGTTTCTGTCCGGATACTAATGCTTCACATATAAAAAGCAGAAATGACGTCACTACACTAACACTGGCTAATTCTCCTTCAGGTCAAAAACAGAGAGCATAATTTCTTCACGTTTTTACCATATATGTCTGTAAAATTGGAACAAACACCTTATATAACAGTTTACTTACTTTTCATCTAGCCTTAAATTTTAACAGACGTAGACCTCTGTAATACAAATGCCTATAACACGAAAATTTACTGTGTAAAATAATAATTAAATCTACAATGTATAGAGAGAACTTAATGTAAATGTTCGTGTTACAGAATTACAGATGAAGTTAGCAACATTCATGAAACATTTTTTAGGAATCTGGATTATACTTCACTACTTGCAACTAAGTGAAAACACGACCATAAAAGATAAAATCGCAGGAGTTTCGATTAAGATACTAAATAAACAGGTTGAAGCGTATTTAGGAATTCCATATGCAACACCTCCTGTTGGAGACTTGCGATTCAGTGAACCTCAACCTGTTAAAGATTGGGATTTTGTTTATAATGCAACACAGAAACCTCCTTCCTGCATGCAGGATCCAATGTTTGACTTTCCCGAATGGTCGAATCGCCAGCCGAAAGAAATAAGCGAAGATTGCCTATATATCAATGTTTGGGTTCCAGAATCCACTACTTGTGGCGATAAACTCACTACTATGGTCTGGATCTACGGAGGAGGTTTCACACTTGGATCCACAAACATGGATATATACGACGGATCAGTTATTGCATCAGTAGGAGAAGTTATCTTTGTTTCATTCAATTATCGTCTAGGAGCATTCGGTTATGCAAATTTTGGACAAGACGATGCGGCTGTGAATGCGGGAATGTTGGATCAAGTGTTGGCCTTAAAATGGGTTCACGAAAATATAGAAGCTTTCGGGGGAGACAAAGATTTAATAACTATTTTTGGCGAAAGTGCAGGATCCATGTCAGTGGCACATCATCTCATTTCCCCAATGACTAAAGGATTATTTAAACGAGCAATCCTGCAAAGCGGAAGTAACAACCAACAAACATTTACAGCGAATCCTGAAGACAATTTCGAATTTACATCAATGATGGCGAAAGAATTGGGATGTAGTGAAGACGATATGCTACCATGCATGAGAAGAGTAGACGCTTTCGATATCGCAGCTTTTCAAAAACAATTTATGCAAAGAAAAAAGACTTTTGCAACTCTCATTCCTCAAAAGGGATCTCCGTTTCTTCCCGAAGACCCATTTGAAAGTATTGATAACGGAAAATTTCATGATGTGGATATTTTAATAGGAGAAACAAAGGACGAAGGTTCTATTTTTTTACTTTTGTACAGACTAAAATTACTAAACGAAGAAGAACCGAACTTATCGAAATCAGAATTTGAATCTATACTAAGTCATTTTTATAAAGTAAATAGTGAATCTGTAAATCTCATCGTGCAGGAATATCTAAGAGATGTTGCAGATGACGCTTCTTTCACAATTACAAAGCAAACGATTAAAGCATTAGGACACGGAATTTTTACTTGTCCGATTTTTCATTTAGCAGAAAGATTGTCTCAAAATAATAGAAATGTGTTCCATTATGTGTTTAATCACACTCGAACAAAATCACCAAGGAAGAAATGGATGGGTGTACCTCACTTTGAGGATGTGTATTTCGTTTTTGGAAAACCTTTTATGACAGTAAATGATTACTCACGAGAGGAAATGGAATTTAGTAAAAAAATAATTGAATTATGGACTTCGTTTGCAAAAACAGGGTAAGTAATTTAATTGTTGTGAAACGTGAACAATTTTAAGCATGTATTTGATTACTTTTATTGTACTGAATTTTATTCCATTAATTTTGCATTAAGCTTTAGTTCTTTCTTACTGTAATCAAAATAAATACAAACGTAGTAGTAGAGAGCAAACTTTGACAGTAAATTTTTATTAAAAATGTAAATTCACTTGAAAATAAGATTTTATTCTTTTTCTCTACTAAATTACATGCAATTATGATCATAAATAATTCATAAGAGACGACCGTTTTTAAGGAAAAGAGTTTATGTGAAAAAGCTGAAAATGAAATATGTTGTAGCTTATGAGGTCCTAATCAATGAACATACACGCTTTAACTTTCCTGGGTCTGTTATATATAACAGAGGAAAAGTATTGTGATTAAGATTAAGATATGGCGCATGATCTTCTCTATTTCCCTTCCCTCTTGATTATTTTCACAAAAATTTAATAGTATCAATGCACCTTATAAGCAAACTATCATGCCAAATTTCGTTCCTAATCTTTACCACATCCTGATCAGATATTAAACTATATAGACATCAACATGCACATACGCATATGCATATCCAGGGAATGTTTTTCCTTTCTTCACTCTTTCGAATTCAGGATGTCTCAAAACATCAAGATTTGCTGAATTTCTTTATAGTCAAATCTCACACGGTTACAATACTTTCCTGAATTATATATATAGCATCCGGAAAAGAAATACGTCTTAGAACCTCTTATAAATGTTTGATCACTTTTAACTCTGACAAATGGATGCCCATGTCTCCATATTCTTATATTACAATTCCCCTCTTGACTAGTTCATTATTGTGCTCGATTTATATTTTTTACTTCGAGAATTTCAAAGGAAACTTAGGTGTATTTTCCGTAAACTGGATTATAAAATAAATAGTAATAAAATGATAAGCAGAAAATTCAAATTAAAAATTAACAATGTTATTCTTAATATATATATATATTTTTAAAATTATTATTGCAGGAAGCCTTCGTATGAAGGAATGGAAGAAGAATGGTTACAATTTGATGAGAAGGATCGAAGATCTTTCTCTCTTACTTTAGGAAATATTCATCTTACAAAGGCCGAAGAGGAAAAGTGCAAATTTTGGAAACAATTTTATGGTTTTGATTGAACAAACACAAGAAATTGTTATTATTATTAAAATCTCTGTATGTTTACATTTAATAAATTTCTGTTACTTATCTATTATTCGTACACATTCCTATTATTGTGCAATTTTATGCAAATGTTCTTCATTCCTCTTAAACAGAATTCATTTTTTGAATAAGAATTAATCAAAATTTTATAAAATTTCACAAAGCTAATCTATAATATAATCGAGACGGGTTGATGATAATAATAATAAGTGCAGAGCCCAAACGGTTAGGAGTTGGAAGCTGTAATTTGGTACACAGTTAGGGTACGTCACGAAAACGCACACTAAGAAGGGATTTTTCGAAATGCCCCCCCCTGGGGGGAGAGGGACAGGATTAAGCTTAACACCTCCATCAACAATAGAAGTGTTAAGTAACAATGAAAGTGTCAACAATGGAAGTGTCAACAATGGAAGTATCAACAATGAAAGTGTCAACAATGGAAGTGTTACGTAACAATGGAATTGTTAAGAGAAAGCGACGTTTTAAGAGAAAGTGCAGTTGGTTTTCGTTTTTGCAGGAAATTGAAGATATTTTTAGACCCATGTAAAAATTCTCTAATTAGTCTGGAAACGGGGGATCCAATTTTTGCATTCTGTGAAAACGGGTAAGGTTGACTATAACGTAATAATCTTAATCTTCGCTATCGTTACTTTTGCCCGAGCAACGCCGGGC